GGCAGCCCCTGGGCACTGCCCTTGCAGGACACATGTCCCTGGGGGGGCCCTGCCAGGCTTGGGGGGGTTTCAGCCCTTTCCCCCTAGASACACGGGCACCCCCAGCTGGTCCCTGAGGCCCCCGGGGTGGGGGGGCGCTAAGGCTTGGTGGCTGCGGCTCCGTGGGGCCGGGGGGTGCAGGGGACTCTGCCCCTGCTGGCAGCACCTGGAGGGGCTGGAGCCCCCAGCGGAGCGGGGGACCCCCCCGCCCCGAGAGACACCCTGGGGGCGGCTGGGGAGGGGAGCAGGGGGTCCYGAGGGGGGATCCCCACAGCTGGTCCTGGCCCCGCGGCGGGAGCAGGGACAGCAAACGGGGACCGGGGCCCCCGGTGCGGCCGCGGGGAYGATGGGGCCGTGTGGAGCGAGGCAGGAGCCGGGCGGCCACGGAGCCCCGTCCCGGCGCCCCGGATCCAAGGCACTGAGTGAAGGGTCCCCGGCGGAGCGGGGCCGGCACCCTAGGGCGCCCGCAGCTGGCCCAGGCTGGCGTAAACGTCCTCGGCGCCACTGAGCTCCTCCAGGATGGGCAGCAGGGTGAGCAGCTCCGTGTCGCCCATGTCATCGAACCAGGACTGCACGGGGACCTGGCGGGGACGAAGGGCCGGCATGAGCGGGACGGTGCCGGGGCCGCGGGCGGCCGGGAACGGCGGCGCTCCGGGGCCTCACCGCGTTGCCGGGGTGGAAGATGTAGGAGGCCGGCGAGTTGTCCAGGATGAGGGTCTTGTGCAAGTCGCGGCCCAGCAAGCTCAGGTCCTTCACGTAGCATCCCTGGTGGAAGACGCACGATTCCCGGAAGAGCCGAGCCCGGAAAACGCCGCGCTGGTCCAGGAGGTCGGTCACGGGGTCCGCGTACTGGGGACATAGGGGGACACGTTGGTGACGGCAGCACGGGGACCCCGCGGGCGCCCTCGTCCCCGTCCCGCGCTCACCTTGGCCAGGCTGGCCGTGAAGAGGACGCACTCGAAGAGCTCGCCCATGCGCCGCAGGAACTCGTCCACGAAGGGCCGCTTGAGCACGTAGACCTGCCGGGGAGCGGCCTCAGCRCCGCCCCGCGGCCCCGCCGCCCTACCTGCCGCCGCCGCCGCCTGCTCCGCGTCACCGGCCGCCTCCCGGCACAAGTAATCGAGAATAGGCCGGGGATGGTAACAGCCTATCCTGGATTACTTGAACCGGGCCGCGGCCCCGGGGTCCCGGCGGCTCGGCCGTCCCGCCGGCGCCGCTGTCCCCTCACCTGGTGCGTGGTCCCCTCGATCTCCACGGGCACCACGAAGTCGGCGTTGCTGATGGGCTGGGGGGAGCGGCGCGGTTAGCGGGGGGTCCCCCAGGGTGGCGCTGGGGACAGGGTGTCCCCCTCAGCGCAGGGCAGCTCAGGGGCGTCCCGCGCGTCCCCGTCCCCCACCTTGAAGGAGCTGTGCACCAGCGTCTCGTCCAGGTCGATGACCACGCAGATGCGGCCCTGGTCCTGCTGCGTCGCCTCGGGCAGCAGGCAGGGCCCAGGGATCTGCAGGCGGGACGGGACCGCCGTCACCCCAGGGTGCCCCAGGGATGTCCCCTCCCTGCCGCGTGGGTCCCCACGGGGGCTGCTGCCCTCCCCGCGCCCCGGGGCAGATGGGGGCACGGCCAGCGGCCCCCCCGCTCCAGGCTGTGTCACTGGAGGATGACAGGGGCGGGGTGGGGGACAACGGCCACCCCCATGTCCTGCATGCGGGGACAGGGCCTCACGCACCTGGTAGAACTGGTACTGGAGACACGGCAAGAGATCCGACTGGCGGAGGGAGAAACGGGCGTCAGGAGGCAGTGGCAGCCCCCGCGGGGGACGCGGGCAGGGGGCCGGTGCCCCCCGGCGCGGGGCAGCCCCTCACCTTGGCCACAGGGCCGGGCTCCTCTTTGCAGACCCCGTGCTCAGCCCCGCAGCCCCCGGCGCCCCCGGCCCGGAGGCAGCAGAAAAGGGCCTTGAAGATGCTCCGGCCACGCGGTTTCTTGGGAGAGGAGCCGCAGCCGGAGCCTGAGGGGAAGGGGACACGTGTGGGTGGCAGCTCTGGGCCCCCCAGGCTCTTCCCGGCTCCGCTCTGTGTCCGTGTGTGGCAGCTCCGGGAGCTGCAGGGGCTCCCGTCCTGCCGCCCCCCCGGTGGCCCTTGCAGCGGCACCRGCCGAGCGCCGACGTCCAGCGACGTCCGGCACCGGGGCCAAAGGAAACGGCGGCAGCAGAACCGCCCGGCGGCTGCGGGCCCCGCGGAACCGGCGGGATGCGGAGCCGGGCAGGACACAGGAGCTGGGCTGGGACACGGGAGCTGGATGCAGGAGCTGGGGCCGGGATGCGGGAGCTGGGCGAGACATGGGAGCCGGGGCCGGGACGTGGGGTCGGCGGGACACGGGAGCCGGGCGGGATGTGGGACCAGATGGGATGCGGGAGCCGGGGCCRGGACGCGGGAGCCGCCGGGAGGGACACGGGAGCCGCCTCTGCCCGCCCAGAGCCGCGGCCCAAGAGGCTCCTCCGCTCGCGCGGGCCGTGGCGGAGCCGCTGACACCGTCCCGGGCTGTCCCCGGTGCCACGGGCCGTGCGGGAAACCTCCGCGCGCCGCTGCCGAGCGCCCGGGGCCGGAGCCCGAGCGGAGCGGCCGCCAGGCCCGAGGCCTCGGCGAGGGGCTCCGGTG